AGAAGTGTTAAAAGCAGGCCTCCCCGGTGGCACAGCGGTTGAGCGCTGGGTTGCGAAGCTGACCACAGCCTCTGTAGCACCAGTTCGATCCCTGGCTGCTCCCCGGCCACCAGAGGAGGGTCCCACATGGCACGCAGACCTCTCCTGCCGCCCGCTGCTACCCTCAGCAGTGTACTTCGGTCCTTCTGCCTGCTGTGCTCCCCGCTCTGGCTCTGGTGAATGCTCTCACCCTCCCGCTCTTCTGACTGTACCCAGTGCTTGCATAAATAAATCTTTAAAAAAAAAAAGTGGTAAAAGCAATCATTATCTAGGCCCAGATATTCAATTATTTGTACTCTCCAAATATTTACATGAAGCAATAACCATTATTTACAATGCTGCATGAAATTAATTTTCATCCTTATTCCAAGCATATTTTCCCAAGAGATATCCAAAGGGAAATGAGGATATTTGTTTTTCCTCCTGTGTGATAACTTTTGACATGGAATTTGTGTATATTATCAAGGCACAGAAATTTTTGGAAGTCCTGTCAAAGTAGGCAGTGCTTTTGTGATTGTTGACTGACAATCTTGAAAGAAGTTAAAAACACAGTTATATCTTCAATGAGCATTAAAAAAAAAATCAGAATTTTATGTTCTCATACTTACTACAGCAAACAAACTTATTATTCTTGTTAAAAATAAAAACGTTTTCATTTATTTATTTTTTAAGATTTTTTTTTATTTATACAAGAACTGGGGTACCGGCCAGAGGTGCAGCGGCAGGGCGTGGTGGGGGGGGGGAGAGAATTCACCAGAGACAGAGTGGGGAGCAGAACAGGCAGACTGACTGAAGCACACTGCTGAGGGGAGCAGCGGGCGAGTCAGGAGAGGTCTGCCATACCATGCGAGGGTCTCCCCAGTTGGCCGGGAATCAAACTTGCCCTGCAAAGGCTGTCCACAGCCTCACAGTGCTGTGCTCAACCCGCTGTGCCACTGGGGAGGCCCACATTTTCATTTATATGAATTGTGACTTAAGGAAATGGGCAATGTCAAATCAGTTTATGTTGATTATATGAATCTGGAATAAAAACAGTTCTTAAGGTTTTTCTGACCTTTGCAATGAAAGAAATTCTACCATCTGCCATTCCAGTGAGCAATCCTAATTGTCATTAAATATATAAAAATTTATATATATATTTAATAAATGAAAGTCACTCTTATACATGTAAATCTTTATTTTTTATATCTTAACAAGAAAGATTTGATGCTTGCTTTGGTTTCTTTAAAAAAAAAAAAGATACATATATAGCATTATATCTGTGTGGACACACATGGCTTTGACCAGCGCCTGGATAACTTATGTTTGCTTAAGAGTCTTCTGACTTAGCCATTTTTAGCATTATTTAATAAAAAAGAAGATTCCCCAAAAGCAGAATGGCCATTTAATAATAAAATATTTTAGTAAGGATATACTTTATACCAATCTCTAGTAGATAATAGAATTGTCAAGTGACTTACTGATAGTCATATAGCTAGTAAGGGCCAGAGTTTGCATTCAAATCCTGATCTTATCATTCCAATTCTTCTTCATCACATCTTACTTTATCAAAGACTTGGAGCACAGCACATTGTGGCAAATATTGACAAGTTCATTTTAACCTCTATGGACTATTTAACAAAGTAGAAAAATAACTTATTGTCTCTAACATAAATCTCCTGAATTTATAGTAGCTGTTTCACAATATTTCTTTTCATACCTATAAAATAAATTGTACTTTGTTACTTTAATCTTATTCCCTTTTAAAGCCCTTTTACTTCATATGCAAATATGCATATAACAAGCTAAATTTTTTTTTTAAGATTTATTTATTTATTTATACAAGCACTGGGTACAGTCAGAAGTGCGGGAGGGTGAGAGAATTCACCAGAGCCAGAGCAGGGAGAACAGGCAGACAGACAAAATACACTGCCGAGGGGAGCAGCGGGCGGCAGGAGAGGTCTGTGTGCCATGTGGGGCCCTTGCCTGGTGGCTGGGGATGGAACTGGTGCTGCAGAGGTTGCGGGCAGCTTCACAAGCTAGTGCTCATCTGCTGCGCCACCGGGGAGGCCCACTTAAGCTAAAATTTAATAACAAGATAAAATAATAGCTTTACATGCTCTACAGAAGGAGATCAGCATTTGAGACTATGATATGCCTGTGTATTTTACGTATATTTTATGTACCATATTTTTATATACCACACACATACACAGTACTGAAAAAATATTTTAATATTGCCTTTAGGTTAAAGACCACAAAAAGAGGAACACTTAGTCTTTACATCATATTAATATGAATTCCCTGAGTGTTTTACACAACCTTCCTTGAATGATTATTAAGGTATTTAAGTTGTTTAATAATGCTTTGAGTGTTATTAAATTCAGCCTTCTTCTCATTATAGTTAATGCTTTTGAATGTACAATGTGACTAGCACTCTGTTAGGTGCTAAATATTTACAATATTGAAAAAATTTTACCTACTCTTGTAGTCTAGAGGCTTGATTCAAGATGATTAAAATCAACATCAGTGAAACAAGAAATTACTGACTTTAGCAGATTAAATTAAGAAGAAATGAAACAAAAGAACTTAACATTTGGAAGTTACATTGAGGTTCATTCAGTCTTAGACACTGCGGATTAAGTTTATAATTTTTTAAAATGTCTAAATCTACAACAATGACATCCAGAATTGACAGTTACAGTAATACCATTTTTTATTATGATGGTATTTGTGTTAATCCTGAATTTTTCTCAACATTTATTCATTAATTTATTCCACAAACACTTCATGTGCTCCTGTAGCGTACAAGGTATGGCATGAAGAAGGTATATTAACCAGTTAAAACTTTGATTTAAATGATGTAGATCATAACGCATTGTGGAAAGGTTCATGGGAGATGGAATAATACATATGTAAATTGGTTGCAAATTTTAGTCATTTGGGGGGTTTTGATTTTTTACTTTATTATATTTTAATCAATGAATGGGTCTGTAAAATAGATGTTGTTTTAACATTTGTTTAAACTTTCTTTTTGACCCAATGGGTGATCAAATTTGTAAATGTTTCAGACTTGAAAACAGTATGAATTCTTTAATTCTTCAGTGTTGAGTTTGATAGTGTTTATTAGATTGTTCATTATTTGTGTTAATTGAACTCTATTTCTTTACAAACTTTTGTGTTCTCTTTACTATTTTTTTAATGAAAAGTGAATTAAAATATCCCATTTTAAACTCACCAGTTTCTACATGTAATTCTGCCTGTTTTCACTTTGTATGTTTTCAGGTTAAGATTTTAGATATAATCAGGTTTAGGATTATACTTTCTGGATGAATTATTTCTCTTGGAATTAAATAATAATGACTTTTTGTTTCTGATCATGCTGTTTGTTTATTATTATTATTATTTTTTTAAAAATTTATACCATAGGTTTTTTATTTTTTTTAATTAAAGATTTATTTATTTATACAAGCACTGGGTACAGTCAGAAGCACGGGAGGGTGAGAGAATTCACCAGAGCCAGAGCAGGGAGCACAGCAGGCAGAAGGACTGAAGTACACTGCTGAGGGGAGAAGCGGGCTGCAGGAGAGGTCTGCACACCATTGTGGGACCCTCCTCCAGTGGCCGGGGAGCAGCCAGGGATCGAACCCGTGCTGCAGAGGCTGCGGACAGCTTTGCAACCCAGCACTCAACCACTGCGCCACCGGGGAGGCCCTGCTGTTTGTTTTTGCCTTCACATCACTTTTTATACTGAAATATTGCTACATTGGTTATAGTTATTGTTACTGTTCCTTTTGTTAATAATCATTGGTGTAATATAGCCTATTTCCTTACTCTTAACTTAGTTCTAAATGATTACATTCATAAAAATATACTTTTATAGAGATAAGATATCCACTAATTCACTTTTTTAAAGTATACAATTCAATGGTTTTTAGTTTATTCACATATGCGGCCAATAATACTAATTTTAAAACATATTTTCATTATCCCAAAATGAAACCCCATATCCATTAGCAATCACTGCCCACTTCTTCCCCCTCACCAATCTCTGGCAATGACAAATCTGCTGCTCTCTCTCTTTGGATTTGTATTTTCTGGACATTTTAGATAAATGGATCATACATGTCTTTTATTTCTGACTTTTATCACTGATTTCATTTTTTTACATTCATACATCATAACAATTTCAAGATTCATCCTGAATTTGATTTTTAATCAAATCAAATTTTAACTTGAAGTTGTAGTTTGTTTCAGTACTTCATTTTTTTTAAAGGCTGAATAACATTCCATTATATATATACCACATATCACATAATATGTAATCTACCCATTGATGGACATTTGAGTTGCTGCTACTTTTTTATTAGTATGACTAATGCTGTTATGAACATTCATGTTCAGTTTCTTGTGGGGTGAAATGTTTTCATTGCTGAATCATGGTAAATCTACATCTAATGTTTTGAGACTACCATTTTTACATATTCACCAGCAATGTATGAAGTTTCCAGTTTTTCTATATCACTTATCTTGTCTTTTCTCAGACATTAAAAACCACAAACCCAAGGTCTTTTTATCTTATCCTGGTATAAATTCCTTGTGGGCTTCATTCAACTATAGTTCCCACCGATATATCTTTGCATTCCACGTTTCTGGCCTCTGAATATTTCTTTTCCTTTCTTTAAAGGTCATATATGTGTTAAAACTTTGAAGTTGTTTTCACTTAGTATTTTTTTGTAGTTGAGAAAGTGAGGAAGGGGCCATGGAGACAAAAGATTTGTATTGGATCAGTCTGCCATTTAAATTTGTGTAGATCACTGCAGTTGCAGTTACTATGAAGTGGGTGACTTAGAGTTACAGGTATTGCTTAGGTTAGAGGCCAGAGTTTCTCTTCTGGGCTAAATTTCTCAGCCTACATAGCACCCATTATTATATAGTCCCTTGTGAACTAATTCATCTTTATTTTTGTTGTGATTTTACAGATGCAAGTTTCTAAAAATAATACTGAAAAGAGAAACCCCAAATTTAGAAAAAGGAAAAGGTATGCATTTTTAAATTAAAAAGTTTTATGATAAAATTTAAATATATATGTGTGTATATATTATATTCATTATTAAAGCAAATCTTTTTTTATTTTGCTCATCTAAGAAACATTATATTTTAAAATTTCCAAAAGGATTTAGTAAAGTGATAGGTAGTAGTGTTAGAACTGTGGAGAATGTTTTCTGTTTATACAAATTTATTGAACCAGAACTATCAAAGATTAGTATCAGGTGATCAAACAGATGAAAAGCAGGTTTCTAGTTTAAAAATAGGTAATGCAAACTAGCAGACTTCATACTAAACTAATAAGCCACTGATGATAAGTTTAATGTTTATCATTGAACCTGCCATGTACTTTATTTTTTTAATCAATGGTGATTTGTGCTGGGTTAAAAGGATTCCTATTCAAAGACAAAGATTGACCCTAATACACAGACTTTCTCTTCTTCTTTGTACTTTTTCAAAAGATGAATAATTAAATTTTTAAAAGGGACTTTCACTGTCTTATCTCAGTTACACTTCACAGTAACTCCATCAAATTGGCAGGGGTTGTATCATAATTATCTCCAATTAAAAGATGAAGAATATGTGGCCTAGAGAAGTTAAGTGGCTTTTTCAAGATCTTATAGTTAGAAAATTTATTTGAAAACATGTATTCTGACTAAATAAGAAAGAGTGTAACGGAAAAAGCATGGATTTTTCAGTCTGTTAAAGTTTACTTTTGTCATGATCTACCATTTATCTATGTTGTCAAATTTTCTAGTTTATCAGAGCCTCAGTTTCTTTATAAACCATTACTTAGTAGGTTTTTTGGGAAAGGATTATATGAAAAAGTCCACGTAAGGTACTTGTTAGATAGTTAGTGCTTTTCACTCAGTGAAGAACTTAAATCAATTTATTCCCCTTTGGTTTTTTCATGATACCATGCTGTCCTACTTACTTTATGAAACAACCAATAAAAAGTACCCTAAGATAAGAAATATATATTCCTACACTGCAATTACTGATGAATATACATGAGTGGTCATTTAAATATACGTGATTGATCTTTTGAAACTAATCTGTCATTCTTTTTCTAGGAAAACCATTTTAAAATCCTCTTTTGAAAATATTTGTTCAGATGATGCTTTATCAAAGGAAAACATGGGTATGTGAAGGCCTGCTTTTAGTTGTTTCCCTTATATTTAATCTCACCAAATATCGTTGTAATCATTTGATAGGGGGAAAATGCTGTTTTACATATATATTTATATAGATATATGAGAAGCATAGTGGGTAATTTTTGGTATTGATTCATATATCAATGTTTTTCAAAATTGTCTTTCTATTTCCTTGAATTAAATTTTCTCTGTCTTTACAATATATTTAATTTTTTTTAGATAAAGCTCCAGCAATTGTGGGAGAAAATATAAGCATCAGTACATTTCAATTCAGACTGCTCCACTCCAAATTTATTGGGGTCCTAGGGTGCAAAAGAGAGAAAGAAGAACAGTAGCCTGGGGCTTCCCACTGAATTAATTGCCATTGGTATTAGAACACAGTAGGGTGAATATGGGATGCAGGGAATAGGTTTTCATTTTCAAAAGCAATGTACTGATAATGTACTCTTCCTAGATCATCATTTGTCCTAAAAAGCAGGCAAAGGTTTATTTGCAAGATGGAACTTTGGCATCAATGCAAAGAGATTTTAAAGCCCATTAAATCCCAAGAAGTATTTGCGCCATATTCCCACTTCCGGGTAGACATTCCATATCCTCTGGTACTGCATTTCAATTGATGTAATAAGTCATTAATTTATAGTGTCATACATGAAAGGAAAGCAGACAGAGGAAGGATGGAGTAGTTATTTAGAAAAAAGAAAACCATTTGCTCCTCTCCTAAACCACTGTAAAATTCTGTTGCTTCTCTTTTTTAAACACATTCTGCTAATTAAGTTTCCTTTTCTTGGCTATTTTTCCCTTTGCCTCACATAATCATTTCAAATATGCCTGTGAAAAGGCAAAAGTCAGTTTATCCCTGCACAGACTTCCCACTAGGAGCCCTAGCACTGCAGTTTAAGGTTCCAGTGTTAGAATCATTGTTTCTTTCAACTCACATAGACTACTACAGAGGAAATCTTTTGCAGCAAGGATTCTAACACAGGAAATGACTCTTAGGTATAAATAAGTGACTACATCTTAGTAGTTATCCATGAAGCCACACATCCTGTATGGCTCTAGAAACACTTAAGTAGTCAATTGTTAAAATACTTAACCAATCTAGTCTACTGTGTTCTTTGCAAGAACCGGGAACATTCTGAAAAAGTGGTTCTTTTGTAATAGTTTAAGTGTCCTTAATATTTTATGTCCTACCCAAATTTCTTTGGATTTCTTGATCCAACTCTAAAATATTTAGTTTCTACTTTTTAAAAAAATTATTATTTTTATTTATTTATGCATACAAGAACTAGAGTGTAGGCCAGAGGTGTAGGTGTTGAGAGGATTCACCAGGGCAGAATGTGGAGCAGAATAGGCAGATCTACTGAAATACACTGCTGAGGGGAGCAGTGGGCAAGATAGGAGAGGTCTGCTGTGCCATGTGGGTCAGTTCCCTGGCCAGGGGATCAAATTCAAGCCACTGTGGCTGGCGATAGCTTGTTAGCCCTGAGCTTTAACCCCTGCACCACCAGGGAGGCCCATATTTAGTTTCTTCTTAAAGTAGAATCAATTCTAGATTAACTATAGAGGGAAATTATAGCATCTTCTTCTTGAATCTCTGCCATAATTTTTGTACCCTTTTTCCTTACTTGTAGGTGCTAAATAAAGTCTCCTATTAGTATGCTAACTTTACTGTCTACCATTTCTTTTTGGATTTTATGATTGTTTCTTTCTCTTTCTCTATCTCTCTTTATATGCTGCTTAGAGATCAGGAGGAGAGCTAATTAAGTGCAGCTACTTTACCTCTCCCAGTAACAGATTACTCATCTGAAATAAAGAGAGGCTGTAGAAGCTTTCTAATCCAAAAAGGAAAGAACCTGTTTTTGCAAATTAATAGAAAAGCTGAGGAATCATTGAATAATTCAAATTGTATGCTGATTACTGTAAAAAGATTTAATCTAAGAAATAACTTTTTGAAATATGTTTGCATTTGAGGAAAAATTGCAATCAGGAATATAATTTATATTTATTATACCTGTAACTCATTTTTTTTTTTTGGTGTTTAGGGACATCTATGATGATAAAATAATAGCAATAATAATGATAACAAACACCTGTAACAACAATAACTATCTTCATGGTTCAAAAAACTTCACATATATGATTTTATTTTAATCTTACAAGAGCCCTATGAGGTAAATATGGGAGATATTATTATATCTCCCATTTTTCAGTGGGAAATAGAGGCACTTCAGAGGTCTAAGGTCACATAGCTTTTAAAAATTAATAAAGTGTTTGTTTATTTCCTTAGTTCCTTTGAGTACCAGGAAGCTGAAAACTAAATTTATGGGGGTTTTGGTATAGCACTGCTCGTTGGTCTAATCTTGTTAAAAATGCAATTATTATCCTTTGAATCCCCCTTAATGAATTGATTTTGATTTCTTTAATCTCTGAGTCTTTCTCATTAGTTTTATTTTGTTACTATTTTCTGTTGGTAAATACCTCATTTCTTAGAGTGGACAATACATAAAAGTTTGAATAAATAAAAGACATATTACCCATAACCAACCACATGGATTAACATTCATTAATAAACTAGCAGAGTATGTGTCCGTCAGTCACCTGAGTTAGGTTACCTTGGAGGAGGATGGCTAATGTAGGCAAGAACTCGGTTATGGGCTGAGTCCTAGAAAAAGCATGAAGGTCTTGAGTCCAGGGTCACGAAGTAGAAAGGTGACAGGGAGAAAGGTGATAGCCCACTACTCAAGAGAAACTTTGCCCACCTACCCTTGGTTTGCAGTTACCTTTACTCTCTAGACTAGAGGGGTGTAGGGTAAAGAAAATATCAGGCTTTTCTGCCCTTCCGCCATCAGGATAGATGATGGATCCTTGTCCTGAATGCATGCCTGATGGCGGGCACCTGGAATAGGGTGTGGGCATAGGTAGATGGGATTCAGCTGAGCTAAGACTGTGCTTTTAAGGGCGGCGTCACGGGGGGACGCCAGCAGCAGCAGCACCAGCAGCAGCAGCAGCCGCCGCAGCCGAGAAGCAGCAGAACGAACGCTAGAGAGCCCAGATAGAGTGAGGACTTGCTGGGGGCTGGGAGGCCTGCCAGCCTCCCAGCCCCCCAGCCAGCACCCCTGCCTGCCATATGCCTGGTGAACCCCAAATAAAAAACCTGCAAAACTACTGAGGACTCTGACTCCTCCTTTACCCGATCTGCATGGGATCAGAAAACCTGCCTTGTGCCCTGTCCTGCCCCTTACAATTGGCGTATGTCGGCAAGATCCATGCAGACGGGTATTGGAGCCCTCCGAAGACCTGGAGGGACTAAGGAGAACAGACTTTGCCTGTGACGACGCTGGAGGCACCATGGCGGTATAGAAGATGGATACGTCCACGAGCTACAGGATGAGACCTGGCGTGAAGGAGACGCCCGAAAGGACCAGCCAACGACACCGGAAAGGACCAGCCAACGACACCGGATAGGACCAGCCAACGACACCGGATAGGACCAGCCAACGACACCGGATAGGACCAGCCAACGACACCGGATAGGACCAGCCAACGACACCGGAAAGGACCAGCCAATGACCCCTGAGGCAGCAGGCCATTGCTGAAGCAGGGAGAGGCCAATGGACTGATAGACTGATGAACTGATGATTTTGGACTGACAATCCCGCCAGAAGGCGGAGGACCTTAGCAGGTTATGTTTATTTTTTGAGAATCTGGGGGTGGCCAGTGGGCCTAGATGGCCAAAAGCAGCCTGTGTATGCCCAGTGGCCAGGTGGAGGAGAAAAGCCAACTAAGGTGGCAAAAGCTGGTACTGATGCTAAGTTGAGAAGCCCTAAAGCGGCTGTTAAGCAGCCTGGGTATGCTGAAGCCCTGTGAGTCTCGTAAAATCACCTATGGGTGATGCCCTGCTCATTCTTGAGTGAGGGTGAGGAGCTGAGGAGGCCGTCCTTGGGGGACGGGTGGGGAATGTGGCTTGGGGTGGAGCCCAAGCCAAATGCAAAGTTTGGATCCCCAACCATGTGCTTGTGCAGTGGGTTGGCTTGAGAGCAGGGGTCTGTGAGTCGCATGGGTGGCCATGAAGGCCGAGTGTTGGAGCGACTGCAGACAGAAACCCTGAGGGTTGGCGATTACCCCCAACAGAATAAAATTGCCAATCCCAGAGCTAGTGCATCCTGGGGGTGGATGCTGTGTGTGCCTTGTAGCCGAGACTACAGCCAGAGAAGGCCAGGAAGCCTGACGGCTCCTGGTGTGATATAGCAGATGCCGTGTGTGATTTCCCCTCCCTCGCATGAGCAGTGCCTTCGGCAGCAGATTTGGTGGCTCATCTGCTGGTACCAATAATTGTCTTTTGCACTTGGTTGGTGCCCTGCCTGGACTTATTTGTGTTCTGTTGTATTTTGTTATGTTGTATTTTGTTATTTGATGTATTTGCTTTTGTGGGCCATGGCTGCATTGTTTGTTTGCTTAGAAAATTGTGTATATATGTATAGACTGTATGGCAGAAAACCCTGAGGGGGTGGACTGTAGGGTAAAGAAAATATCAGGCTTTTCTGCCCTTCCGCCATCAGGATAGATGATGGATCCTTGTCCTGAATGCATGCCTGATGGCGGGCACCTGGAATAGGGTGTGGGCATAGGTAGATGGGATTCAGCTGAGCTAAGACTGTGCTTTTAAGGGCGGCGTCACGGGGGGACGCCAGCAGCAGCAGCACCAGCAGCAGCAGCAGCCGCCGCAGCCGAGAAGCAGCAGAACGAACGCTAGAGAGCCCAGATAGAGTGAGGACTTGCTGGGGGCTGGGAGGCCTGCCAGCCTCCCAGCCCCCCAGCCAGCACCCCTGCCTGCCATATGCCTGGTGAACCCCAAATAAAAAACCTGCAAAACTACTGAGGACTCTGACTCCTCCTTTACCCGATCTGCATGGGATCAGAAAACCTGCCTTGTGCCCTGTCCTGCCCCTTACAAGGGGGGAGGGGAAGTTAGCCTCATGCTCCTCTCCTCAGATGCATCTTCTTCCTCTTTTTTTCTGTCCAGGAATAGAACTCCCCTTCTAAAGTATTTCAATCTGTATTTTCCCCATCTCTAAGTTTAAATTGTGAGCACAGAGAAATGGTTGTGATTACTATATAACAGAATGCCAAGTGTTTTTTCCTCATTCTCTATTAGAAGGCCTTTGAAATTTCAACATGAAATGGCTTAAAAACTTATTTTAAATGACTTTTTCAGCATCAGCTTTGAGTTAACCCATCCAGTAGATTATATAAAGGGAGAAACAACTTCTCTACACATTTAATAAAGAAGTAAGATTGAATAAAATTTCATAAACATACTTTTGAAAGCTTTAAAAATAATGGCGGATTTATTGAGACAAATAGTTATTCTCTGAAATGGAAAAACAACATTGATTTATTTTTATAAAAATTCATTTTTAAAAGCTACATATGGACTTCAGTGTGAGTGATCCTCCTCTTCTCCCCTTCAAAAAAAAAAAAAAACCCAACTTTTTCTGAGTGATAGAGCAGCTGTAATGCTACCACTTTACTCTCAACAACAAATTGAAACAAGTCAGGGAAACTACAGGATAATCAGTATTGATAGAAGATGATTGGTCATGCAATCAGCAAAGGCATTCATGCTGTCTCTATCTTTGGAGGATATCAATGACCAATTTTGATAACCTAGTTTGTAGATTATAGTAACTGCTCTTTCTTGAGAATTATTTTTGAACTCTATGTGTTTACAACATAGAAATACCCATTTAGAAAAGCAAACCTCCTATTGCTTTGGAAGTAGAATTTGGCACCAAGCAAGTTGGTGTTATGAACCTGGTTGATTTATGAATTCACCCATTACTTTGTCTGCCCTTTGATGAAAAAGCAGTATATATATATTTTTCAGATCACTTGAAAATGGAGAACCTACAATGCCATTTGGCAATGACATTCATTATCAAAAACTGATTGTATTTTAGCCTAGTCTTAGAAATATAAAGGTATTTGTGTGCCATTTTCCATTTGCAGTATAGCTCCATATTCATCTTCTCAACAGTGCTTTAAATGTCAATGTCAATTTCTGTAGACTCATTGTAAAGTAGAAAAGCACACTATTTGTGAGTGAGACTGGGGAATCAGTGTGAAGAAAACTGCAAGTAGTTGTCTGTTACGTAATAGGCTACTAAATGAGAAATCTGTCCTAGCAGAGGTTAACTTCATTAACAAAATTGCTTCAAGAAAAATATACATTCCTCCAGAAAATCCTGAGTCATTAGATATGGGCTTGCATGCATAGTTTTAATAAACTCTTCAAGTGATTCCTATACCCACTAGAATTCGAATGCCACTGTTCTAGAATGTAAGAGTTCATACTCTGTGTTCTGAGGCTTTAGCAATTACCATAAAACACAGATGTATGTGGAATACAACTAATACACCAATTACAGTTTTTGCAAAAATTATAGTTTTTGTTTATTAAGTATAAGAACTGGTTCTAAGGTGGGGAATGTCATAAAAAAAGATTGCAAACTGTTTTGAGAGAAGTTTTTCATAGAGAGAAACTAAGATTGACTAGAGAGATGGCCAGAAGGCTCATTGGTCTGTGTCTATTCTCTTCAATCCCTGGCCCATAGTAGGCCCACAATAAATGTCTGTTAATTGTATATGTAAATACTTGGGACAAGTAAATATTGACAGAAAAATCATTTTTATAAACAAAGTTGTTATTTAGTACTGAAGCAATAACCAAAGAAAAACTTTCTTGTAACCTCCCATTACTTTATAGAACACTATTATTTAATAAATGTTTAGCAGAATTTTTGTTTTATTAATTTTAATCAAATTTTTTGAGATAATGTTGATTTATAACATTGCTTTAGGGGTGTGGGTTTACACCTGTTCAAATGTATATATTCACATCACATCCACCACTTAAACACCAGTAATCCTCATTATAGTCCATTGGGTCACCCACCCCTACCTATGTCCCCTTATAACAGAATTTTTTAATTTCCTTTTATTAAGTAATAGGTAAGAGAAAATTATCAACAAAGAAGGTAATAAGAATGTAGAAAAGAATATTAATTCTTTTGAACTGGAGGGAACAGAGAATAAAACTTTTTTGCATTAATAATGTTTTTACCTTTAACACTTAGTTTACAAGTGAGTGTTCTTGGATATGTTCATGTTAGTGGATGTACACAGCATATTCACTCTTGCTAAACATTATTGGTCAGAACAATTTTAAGTATGTTCCACAATTAAATAAAAAATTAGTATTATTACTAAAAGTATCTAGTTTCCATATTCATTAATATTTCAACTCTAAAGAATATGTCCTACTTGACTTTCTTTTCATATTCTGTGAACTTTCAATTGCTTTACTTAGTGTGATTTTGGTGACCTGCCAATGAATGGCATGTAATAGGAGGTGCTATACCAGATTTTTGAAACCAGAATGGAAGATGGTAGGGCATATATTTGTGGCCTTTCTCTTTGAATCATGCTGTCTTTGGAAGGACTTTTCAAATGCTACATCTGTCTGTATTAGGATAGCAGGCCTTTCCTTGATCTTTCCTTCATCAAGCACCTATAGCAAATGAAAATATTTGTTTTATAGAATTGGGAACTCAGTTGCATATTGTTAGTCAGTAGTTGAGTCTATGGGGTTATAATAGCCATTTATTTCTTTGGCAGGGGAGATTATTTTATTTTATTTTTTAAGATTTATTTATTTATTTTATTTATACAAGCACTGGGTACAGTCAGAAGCGCGGGAGGGTGAGAGAATTCACCAGAGCCAGAGCGGGGAGCAGAGCAGGCAGAAGGACCGAAGTACACTGCTGAGGGGAGCAGCAGGCAGCAGGAGAGGTCTGCGCGCCATGTAGGACCCTCCTCCCGTGGCCGGGGAGCAGCCGGGGATCGAACCGGCGCTGCAGAGGCTGCGTGCAGCTTCGCAACCCAGCGCTCAACCGCTGCGCCACCGGGGAGGCCCAGGGGGAGATTATTTTATCTATCTCAGCAAATCTTGTGAATTACCAGATTTTTTGTATACTTAGATATTTATGTCACAGTAGCACAAACAGTACCCTGACTTCCTAAGTATGTGATAATTTTTAAAAAATCCCTTTGTGCAATTAAGATGTGTTGATATTTGGTATAAGAATAGACTGTCTATAAGAATAGACTCTATTTAGCCACTTATTTACAAAGTTACCAGTCTTAAGCATATAGTTTTAGTAGTTTATAGCTGGGATTGGCAAATTTTGACTCACAGTATACCAATCACTGCCTGTTACTGTAAATAAAGTTTTAGTGGAACATAGCTGCTCTCATTTGTTTATATATATGCCTAAGGTTTCCTGCTAACAGAAGAATTGAGTAGTGGTGACAGAGACTTTCCGGGCCACAAAGTCTGAAATATTTACTCTCTGGCCCTCTATAAAAAAGATTTTCTGACCCCTGGTCTGTAAAGAACATAATTTGATATCCTTGGAGTCTGATTTTTTAAAAATTCACAAAAATATCTAGTCAGTTTTTAATATTTCAGGCATACTTGAATGGTCAATATATAGAGGGAATGTCTCCTACATTTTTCAAGGAATAATTGTAAAAGGTCCACATGGAAGTCCATAATTTTGCACCAAACAGAGGGTGTTGAAAATTATATGAATTTTTTCCCAAAATATTTAGCTTTTATCTTACAACATTTAGAAGATGTCTTCTTTCTAGGTGGTTCACATTATGAATTAGATTAAAATAATTAAGATGTAGTATTTTTACACTGTATTAATGATGTCTCTTTAGTTGTCTCTGAGACAGAAATTTTACTTAAAGAGCTGGAACAAATGCTACAGCAAGCATTAGAGCCCACAACACGTGATGAGTCTGAAGAGGAATGTGAAGAGGAAATAAACATGGAAGAAAAGGTAGTATTGATAGTCATTATCAGGCCTAAATAGAAACTTCAAGTTCTTTAAATGACAGAAATTGTTCCTGAATATACATTTTAATTATATGGAAAACTTATTTCACTTCTGAAACTTTAGCCTTGATTATCATGAGATAAATAAAGTAGTAGCCTGTTAGAAATTAGAATGCATTTATCAGTTTTTGAAAATATACCTGTGTTTGAGCAAAGGCGTTTCTTGGTTTTTTGTTTGTTTGTTTTGTTTTGTATTTTAAGATCCTTGAAGTTGAAATGAAGAAAGACCAAGGGAGGCTCACTGTGGTTATTGGGATGTCACTGCAGGTAGACCTCTTTCCTGCTGACTGTCTTTACAGCTGAGAGAAAGGGCCAGATTAAGAGCAGTTTGTGGGAAAAGCTGCTTTGTCTGGTTCATGCACAGGAATAAATTCTGTAGGACCAAACCTCATTATTAACATATTGGAGGTAGAATTTGTCATTGGAGTATGTTTCACCATTCTTATCAAGTTTTGTTCTTTTTGTTTTTCTTTTGACTAACTGCTGAGTTGAGGAAATATATACTTTCCTTATTCAGTACTTACATATGACAACATCAATTTTGATTTGGCTGATAAATTACTCAGCACATCAGCTCCACATCTCTGCACATCAAATGGTGTGGTATCCTATGAGCTGGTCACTCATGGGCAACTGTGACCTATTTGTTATCCACAAATCACAGCAGAGCATTCCTTGACTACCTACAGACAATAGCCCATATCATGAGGCAGGCCCCAGGGGACCTAGGCCACCATTGACCCTGATTATATGACTAACTCCTTGATGGCATCAGGATAACTCTGCCTGTGACAACATCAATACACACACTTTATTGAAGCGAATGTCACTTGGCATATGGTCACAATGTCCCCTTCTCTGTTCCTTGTAAAACTTTGTCCCCCATTCCAGTCCTGACCTCCAGACCTTGTACTACCATAGTCGCCTGATCGGCTATTATGAGCCTGTGCCTTTTCAAAAATGCCCAAGAACTTCTGCTCGAATAGCAGTCTTGCCTTGCAAACCTGCCCCACGATTGTTGTGTTCCTCATCACATTTCCAGCCACAAAGCAGCAACAAAGTTCCTGTCACAACAAAATGGGAATTCAAAATCCAGGTCATTAAAACCAGTTGGTAGGAACAACAAAATGGTAGGTATGAGACAAATAAGTCTTAAGCAGATACTCACACATGGTGGTACAGCTGTTCCCTAAATAGATCAAGAGAAAAATGGCAACGAGCAGTCATATATCCTTAAAGGTCCAGCCAGTCATGCACTCATTCACCTAGATTATATCATAAGCCTGGAGTCAAGGGAGCAGGGAGGTTTGGAGCACTGGCTGGAATATAATGCCTGTGTCCCGATCTTGCTGCTGCCACTGAGGACTTGTGTAACTTGGCAAAGTTGCTTATCACTTGCTTCAGAGGATTGTTTTGAGGGCTAAATAAGACAAACCAGAACTGTTTTGTGTAGTAACTGACAGCTGAGGTTAACTATTATAGAAGAGAATTGACAATGGCAGTCACTGGAGAAAATAAATACAAAGATATTCTTACTTTAACTTTTCCTGCATTCTTACTTTGAGAAGCTACTTATTGCCAAGTCTGTCTGTTTTCAGATGAGGAAAAAGGTGGATTTATAAATGAGACAGTTGTTACACACTTTGTCAGAGAGTGTGCATGATTGCTTTTAGAATGTAATCTCAATCGTGTGATTTCATTCAGAACTTCAATAAGAATATAAAGATGATTCTTAAACACCACTTTTATTGAGTTGGAAATCAAGAAAATGCACAACATTTACAGTTAAGGATCTCAATGTATTAGAAGAAAATAAAAAGTTGAGAGCTCTGAGTTGAAAAACATGATAGTTTTTTTAATCAGCACCATTGACACCAGCTTGTACCTCAATTTGCATGGACCTGGTAAATGCAATTTTTCCAGAACTCCTGTTGTTTTAAAAAACCTGTTTTATAAATAAAGATCTTGTCTTTTGTAGAACAAGATCTATAGACATATATCTTATATACATATAGTTAATATACAGTTATTCTTTTCTAGCAATTGCATGTTTTGTTTGAACACCATATGGTTTTGTGCAATGTTTTTTCAGTTGTTGCAGTTTGTCTTTTCAAAAATACAGCCAGGTTGATTTTTATAGAGGTGTCCTGGAGCTTTTACAGCCACAGAATTGGCTTCTATTTTACCATTATAACTAGTAACATTATAGAACAGAAAATTACTTCTGATTTTTATTTCTTGAGGTAAAATACATAGTTTTAATACATCACCAGGAAGGAGCTTGCCTTTTGTTTCAGATTCTTGTAATATTTTACACTTTCAAAAGGCATTTACGAATTGTAAAAATTAACCATTTTAACTTGCTGGCAGGCAGGTGAGTGCCTCCTGCTGACTGGTTCATAAGCCACTGCACACTGAGCTTTATAAGTCTGGCATTCACACCAGGTTCAGGATATTTAGAGCCTTGTTCGTTTTAAAATGAAGAGAATAGCAGTGAAACCAACTATCAAGGCTGGAGTAATTTCTAGTTTAAAAGTAAAAAAATGATTGCCTCAGGAATTTTTTTCCCCTTTTCTTTTTTCTAGTTAGTAGGAAAAATTGACATGCTTCTAAAGTTAACTCCACTAAAAACTGAAGATGTGTTTTGTTTGTAGGAGAAAGTGTTCTAATATAACTAAACACACTAAAAACCTCACCTGGTAGTTTTAAAGTACTGAGCGTGTTTATTTGCTGAGCAGATATTGTTTGATCTATTTTCAAAATTGTAGTTTTGATGATGTTGTCATCATTTATGTTACATAGGCGGTTTCCAGTTGATTACCCTCAAGCATTCAGACTAGTGTAGAAGAGTAGCAACATTAAAAAAAAAACAACATAAACACATGAATAATGAGAGTTTATTTATATTTGTTATGGAAATACTTTATGAGATTTTTATTTTCGGTAAAGTCACCATCTTAATTTTGTTCTTCTTTACCTCTATGAATACTGAATGACATACCTTGATGTTGCAAGCAATGGGACAGAATTAATTTCAGATTTTTATAAAATGAATAATTCACAGACTAGATAATGCATATGCAAATAAGATAATTCATGGAATAATTGTATTGGTAGGTACATTTTTGATGAGTGAAAATACTTGTATAAACTACATGTATATTCTTTTTGTTCATGTGAAATTAACACCATCTTTAATGAAACTAGAAACTTGCATTATTTTTACCAGTGTCCTTCCCCACTAAGCGGGAGTAAGCTATTATTATTCATATGCAAAGCAGATATTTATAAGAAGATGATTATAGAAAATGTTACTAATACAGTTTTAAATTATATTCTCTATAAAATTAATTTTGGGAATAAATATTGAAAAGTCACAGAATTAAATGATCACATTTTTCCAAAGCATAAAATTAAAATGAAGAATGGGTACAGTAGGAAAACAGAGATAGGACCACAATAATAAGTTACTTTTATAAAAACACGTTATTATATATTATGCTTTATATAGGGATCATTATTTGACCAACAGCCTAACAGAAAACTCTTTATAATTGCTGTGTTTAAAGAGTTAGTGACTATGTTTTGTTCAAAATAAGTAAGACTGGTCTTCAAGTAAGTTTGATATAGTTCTGATGTTTCGCATGGTTATTTTCACAGTTATCTAAATGCACTCCTGAAGCTCCTGTAGGCAGCCCATTTGGAAACCACTATGAAGAGGACTATCTTGTAATTGATGGGATAAAATTAAAAGCTGGAGAATGTATTGAAAATATAACTGATAAGTTTAAAGAAATAGATGCTTTGATGTCTGAAATTTAGATGTCTATAGATATTTTCAAAAGTTAATTATAATACCTGTACATCTTCATATTTTTCCAAAGTCAAAAACTTAAAATTTTTTAGTGAAAGAGGTTATATCTGTATATATACCAAAGTTGATATTTATAATAACTTTCTACTTTGTATTTTAAGGATATCTATTGTTTTGAAACCTAATCAAATGATATTGATGTTAGTGTTAAAAAAGTTAGAATTGAAGAAATCCTGACATTTGCAATTGTTGACGTTTTAATGGTTTGTGAAATTTACTGCACAAACACATGCTTTACAATGATTACTTCTTAGACCCTTTATTAAAATGTAGCTAACTATTAAAATGGCTACCGGGCTATAATAATTCTTAGAGATAATTCAGATCTAATATACCTAGAGAATGTGTATTTGTAGTGGAATTAAGCTATTACAACATAAAAGGAAACAATAAAAATGGGTTGTATAATAGAGTTGGAGCTTTTCTTAAAAAACTAAAATGTCAATTACATTATTATATTGGAACCAATCATTTCAACCACAGTCCTCAAAACTGACTCATTAATAGAGTCTGTGCAGACCTTTGTAAGATCAGAATTCTGAACCTTTCCTCACAGAATCAGTATCTTTGAAGGTGATGATACGAAAATGAAATTAAAAATATTTAGAGATAAGTTAAACACATGCTCTATAAAAATTCCAAATATAGAAAAATAAAAAGTATATCATGCAATAATACCATTCCCTAAGTTCTCCCCTAAAGCTCCGTTCCTTATGGATTCTCACCAGTAGTTTTAGTGGATGTTTTTAAAGAAGGGAAGTTGGAACAATGAAGCGTTTATTTGGGGCCTGAGGACAGCATCCCAGGGGACAAGAGCCCATGATGTCCTTGTAATAGTGTTCCCAGCTGCCTGGAGATGGCGTGGGGTGGGGATGTAAGTAGAGAAAAGGCTGAATAGTCTAATTCAGATCTCCAAGGCAAGCCAGGTTAGAAGTCAGTCAAGTTCCCACTGGTACAGTGACATGCACATTGGGTGGCGTTATCCCAGCAGTATTTGGTTGAGTGGTGTGTGGCAGCCAGCTTGGTCAAGTTTCTTCCTGGAGGTGGGTTTGTCTGGGTGGCCTCCCCACTCTGTTGACTTTTACCCAAATTCAAAGGGCTCCATTTTCTTTTATTTTTTTTCTCATCTTTTCTCTTCTTAATATTTCTTGCCAGTGTCCTCTAGATCTTGTTTTATGCACATCAAAATGTTCATTCATTCACACCCATTTCTAATTCCAGTTCTGGCTTTCTTTATTTCCATCTCTCTCCCCGGGGACTGGTGGTGGGGAGGAAGCCCTCCAGGCATGTAATAACAAAAACCAAAGTTTGAAGAGAAGGAAAAATTAGAAGAAATAGCATTTGGGGCCTTCTGTTAGTTTAGTGTGCTGGAGTAATATGTGCTGATGAGAAGACAGACCAAGTAGAAAAAAAGAGCTGTATACCGAGCATAGGGGCAGAGTTAAAGATGACTAAGCAGTGGGTTCTCTTGAAATTTCAGAAAGATCACACCAGCAGCAGTACAGAGAATGGTGTGAGGGAGAATAATACTGAAGTCATGGGACCAATTAGGAGATTTCTTCAAAAATTCACGGTGTATTATGAGAGCCTGAATTATGGTGGTGCTGTGATGGAAAGAAGTGGGTACATTCAAGGTAAATTAATACGAATAGATTATTAGGATTTGGAGATTACATATAGGGATAAGACAAAGGAAAAAAGTCAGGGACAACTCTAGGTTTCTGGTATTCACAATGCTGTTCACTGAGGTAGGAATATATACAGACTAGAAATGTGGTGTAAATACCAAATTTGGGCCACACCGTGTGAGTACAACAGAGATTCTAAGCTGTTCATGTTTTGACAAAGCCTGCATTTTTTTTTTTTTAATTTATACAAGCACTGGGTACAGTCAGAAGCGCGGGAGGGTGAGAGAATTCACCAGAGCCAGAGCGGAGAGCAGAGCAGGTAGACTGACGAAGTACACTGCTAAGGGGAGCAGCGGGCAGCAGGAAAGGTCTGCGCGCCATGTGGGACCCTCGCCGGGGGCTGGGGATCGAACCGGCATTGCAGAGGCTGCGGGCAGCTTCGCAACCCAGCGCTCAACTGCTGTGCCACCAGGGAGGCCCAACAAAGCCTGCATTTTAATACCACTCTAAGAACCAGGAATAGTCCCTCAACACATGCTTAAATTCTAAGTGGTATAAGACAATGAAGGCTAGGTTTCTCTTGTTTTCTTCCAGCTGAATTTACTCCACAGAAAAACTCTTCCTCTTTTTCTTGGCAGTATGATTTTATATTTACAACTCAGGAGATGTCTAAAGATGTAATTGATCCCATTTTTTTGGTTACTGCTTAAAGAATCAATTATAAGAATGACTACAGTTATTTTTGAAAGACTTTATCCACAATTCAACATTTACTCTAACCACCTATCTAGCATGTCAGTTAGATCACTTGCAGCTAATTTCTGTTGGTGGAATAGCCAGTGCTCATGAAAGTCAGATTCCATAGGTTTTATCATGTTTGGGATCACTAGAGTGCTAACTTTCATAAGCAGGAAGGTTTTACTTAGAATGCATGCCAAATGCATATAAACACAATATAAGTTTATTGGGAGAATCCACATTAGAAGCATACAGTTCAATTGGCAGTAAAAGGGAAAGTAATGAACCTCTTGGCAAAGCTCAGGAGACTCGCACACAGAGTGGGTAGGGCCAACTCTAGTGTGTTACTGGCACCCGTCAATCTGCAGCCACTGGGGTAGGGGGTACACCACTTCACAGAGCTAGAGTCCCTGGCGGCTCTTGGCAGACCTGGGAGGTTTCAGAACTGTGAGCATGGAGTCTATAAGCATCTAAAATTGCTTCAAATTCAGTGCCTATATTTATACCACTTTTCAGACCACCTGTTAATTTTAATTCAGGTAGAGCCTCTCTGCACAGCCAGGTTTTTATCTGTTCTTGCCTTTCACATGTCTGTTTATAAGTGTCTTCATAAACAAAATGATTGCTTTTTAATTGATAACTTTAAGAGTTTATCTCAGTTGCCCCCCTGTCTCCATCAGTCACGATCATCACAAAGTCAATTAACATGACATTTCTAGAGGATCATTACAATATCAATATGTGACAGCAAGATACTGAAATTTTTGGACTGAATTCATCTCAGCTGTGTATTGAGTTGAAGTCTGGAATTTCCACTGAAGTCTTTGTGCCTTTGAGCGGCTCAAAATGATTCTGAGAACAATGACTCAAGTTGACTTTATCTGCAGAGGACTGTGATTATTGTTGGCTCAGAGCATTTATCTTTGACTGTCCTGCCAGGCCTCTCCCCCGGCTGATGGACTAACATACTCCTTTCAGTAGAACCTAAGGTGACACACCTCCTTTGGGGACTGGGACATGGACTGTGTGATTAGCCGATTTCCAGGGCAGCCTAGAGATTGGTGGCATTCTATATTTATACAGAAAGCCTCTTACTAGACCCAAAGTAGAACATCATAAGGGAAGTATATCTGTTCACCAAGAGAAATTGAATTTTAAGCACAGTAGTTATTCCAATTTTGGTTTGTGAGATAAGGCAATATGTCAGGGCCTTCTGGCCAAGTATTTCAGTTGAAATAAAAGCCCCTCTCTTTGCAATTTGAGAAATGGCTGACATCCTCTTCAGAAAGAGCCAGGTCAAGCCCTCCTAGTCTGCAGCCTCCATAATTTATGGAAGATCTGGAAGTATTGGAATGTAAGTGTCTAGTGAGAGCTGCAAACCCTAGAAGGTTGAGCACCGGCCAAACCTTCTCTGTTACCCAGTATTCCAGGAAGTCCTGGTCCATTTGCCCCCTGCTAGAAGTTGAATTTATGCAGAGATTCTGAGGGATAAGCGAGTGAACTCTCCCTTTATGGCGAGAAAAATGTATACTTTTGATGGGTTAGTCTCTTGTCACTAGTGGAAAATGCACACACATACTTGTAGTGTTTATATGTCTACTACAGTCTTCAACTTCTTAGCTCTGCAAAGGTGGGTAATGGGCCACAGACAGTTAATTCTTCCAGTAATAAATTGAGGCACTATTGTTACACTCTGTAAATTAGTCTAGAGTCTGTGGAAAATTGGGTGTTAGATCTTTCTGGAAGAACTTTTCATTCATAAACTTGAGGTGCTCTCTATAGTGCTTTTGACAGAACCAAATCATTCTACCAGCAAATAGTAGTGTTCTCCAGAATCTTCCAATCCATAGACTATTTACCCAAGGCACTTGAAGAGACAAAGGTGAGATATCAAAAATCCTAGAAATAGCCAAATCCTGCTGTGCCATTTCTTCTCTCTATAATAGGGTGTCAAGAGGAGATTTAGACATAGTGCAATGAAAAATTCTAAGTACTTCTGTAGTACTCTTGATGCCTCTGAAGCAATGTGAGTTCTAGAAAAGTTGATTCATATAGATAAATTAAACCTTAAGGTCCAAGTGGAACATTACATACTTACAAATCTAAATACTGGGATTTTTCTACCCACTAATTGGTTACATGAGTATAATAAGCACCCAAGTAGTGAGCAACATAATCAAATAAAATGGCATACAGAGAGGGGAAATTTTTTTAAATATGTATAGTAAGGTCCTAAATGCATATAGAATCTTTTAGAAGAAGAGAGCTGTTATTATTTTTTTTTTTAAAAGGTCTAAAAAAGGTGTTGGCAAGCAGCCTCAAGTTAAGAAAATAAAACTGTTGGGTTAGAAAATAAAACTGTTTCTTATCAGCCTCTTCAGACAGGAAAAGGTTCTACAATTAAGATACAGTTTGCAGACAAAGATCAAGTCCAAGGCAGAGTTGTTTGATTATAACAGATAAGACAAAGACCAGCTCCAGGTGGCTTGCAGGAGCCTCCGGGAAAAGGTCTGATATAGGGGGGGTGATAATGCTGGAAAATATTACCAGATGACTTTTAGTAGATATTTAAACTGCACAAAAGCTCACACTCCTATAAAACTTAAAGTTTTATAAGATGGTACTTGAGGTCCCAACCTGGATAGAGAAGTGTGTTTTGAAAAAAAAAATGTGATTTTGACACATTAATGAGCTGGAATCACATACATAGAAAATCCACTAAGTTTGTAGAGAAAGTGATATTGCCAACCTGAACTAAAAGAGTCTGAAATTATGAGAAAGTAAGAGACCACCGACTCCCTGACTTTCTGTAGATAGGGAAAACTTCTTAGCCACCAAAAAATAGGTGTAAGTTTCAATGGCCTCCTCAGAAGCAAATGAGGAAGATGATGGAAAAGTCTGTCTCTGAGGACAGAACCAGGATCTGCAGAGAATGCAGACAGGATCTCCCCTCCTAAACACACATCCCTACCCTGCCTTCCCTTCTCTTAGGAACAAGAGACATTTCCTACCCCCATCGCATGGAAACTTGGCTAATTTGCCTGTAGGGATTTCAGAATTAC